AGATAAGAATAATTTTCTGCTTCAGCAACACTAGCACCTTCTAAAAATCACCCTTTGATGCAACAATTCCATAATTCCTCTTGCATGGAAGAATTAAGTATGTAAATCTCTGCACATCTGGACAACACTAAATCCTTAATAAAAAGAATAAAATTGTTGTTGGCTAACTTTGTGGCTTTTTTCAAGCATGTGAAAAACTCAAGTCTGGGAATAAACTGGCAACTTCTCAAGTCCCAGGGTAGGACATACAGAAGTATCATGAATTACTTTGCTACTTACCCAGCTACATCACAGCATAGCACACCAGCTGTGACACAGTGAAACACTGTTTAGAAAGACACATCCTTCATAATTCCGTATCTTGACAGAAGACTGCACATTTAGTTTTCCCTCCCTTCCTACTCAAATTGGGAAACTAAGACGCTGATGTCAGCTCTAGAGTTAACCACCAGTTTCTCCCGAAAGCCTGCAAAGAGGGGTAGGGGGATAACAGTGGCAGCTACAGCTGCTGATGACAGTGACTCCGACAGGAATTCTCCTAATAATCAAAAACCAACTGCACCGGAAGCTGGTGACAAATTGTCACATAACAAATAAAGCCCAAAATAGAAAAGACCCACCGGGAAAACAGATCCAGTAAAAAGGCAGAGAAACTAATACGCTGGAAGGACAAGTTCTTGCTGCTTACATTCACCTCCTTTCACTTGTGGTAAAAATTTCTAGTTCAGACACGTCCAATTGCATTCTGCAAATGTAGCCATGTATTCAGAGTGTGATGGAAAAGATTTATCAAAATAGTGCCTTCAGTCAGAGTAAGGTGGATAGCTGCTATATAAATGCCACCTTCAAATCAAGGTATGGGCACAGCAATGAAAGTTGCTCTGAAGTAAGCGATTTCTTTCAAAGCCAAGCTAAGTTTGGCATAGCGTCCTCTCTTATTGGCTAGGACTAGTTTTTATTTGAAATATACATTAAGTAAAGAAAGTTATTGGTTGCTTTTCCCCTTTATCAAAAAAAGACTTCACTGTACCTCTATTTTACTTAGGCAAAGTGCTGATCTTCCGAATCACTGCAGCCTGGTCAGCCTTGCCCTGGTGTACAGACTGTCTTTCTGTCTCCTCCCCTCTAGGTGGAGAGCTTTACTGTACCTCTACTCTACAGCCCTGCATGCTGCAACCAGGAAAACAGAGAGAAGGCACTTACTATTTTTACTGTACTGTCAAGCTATAAGGTAGTAAGACTGGTTTTCTTCATAAAGTACCGGTGTTAGTCCATGTGGCAGAGGAAAAACAAGATGCAGAAGTAGAAAGTACTCTCTTCACACCAAAATGAAACAGAATTCTATACAAGCAGAATGGCCTTTACGGGATTACTAGGCCATGAGCCTCCTGACCGGCCAAGGGGTGGGGGGAATGGGACGACAACACGATGACAGGACTTCAGTTGCTTTGCTCAAAACAGGGCTGTTTTTGGATTTGGAACCTGAGATTTCTTCTCCCTGAGCCTCCCCTACCTAAGCAGCAGTTCTCTTTTCACTGACCATAGCACCATACAAATCAAGTTTCCTTTACCATCACAAAGATCAAACAGGAATCTGACGAAAACTTCCAAATTTCCTTACATTTGAAATCAGTTTCAAATAATGACAAACGAGGAGCATTAAGTGACTTCCTGTTCAAATTCCCCTCCCCAGAGGGCCAGTGCATGAACAGTTCCTCTCTATCAGTTTTCCACAACAGCAGCCCTCCTTAAGAAGTTTAAGGGAGAGACCTGAAGTACTCACTCCACAAATAAAGCCTCATTACTTACTAAAGCAGTAATATTATTCACTACAAGGTTCATCCACCAACATTCCTATCTTGTCATCAGGAACTCACAGGAAATACTTCAAAAGTGGAAACCCACAAAAAAAGAAAAGGGTCAGGTACAGGCGTGGTACTGAAAATGATGAACAAACCTCAGGATGGCTGGTGGGAGGGTACACAACCCACCCCCTCCACAAATTAAGACTTACATCAAAGTTTGCTAAATAACCACCAGCATGGAACTGATGATGCAGTAACAGCATTTACCTTCACGCAGCTTGACATCCTTCACCTGTAACCACTATTTCAGTAGTTTCAAGTTTATTCATAACATACTACCACGCTCGGACAATGCAAAATAATTAAGCTCATTAGCAAGCTCTCCTGACAAATATTTATTCGATTTGTGAAACGGCACTATTTCATTCACAGCTGGTTTAGGTTAAGCCAAGTCCACACTTCCACTGAGAGAGGCCACCCCACCTTTAATTCCAATAGCCAGCTATATATTCCTGTCACCTTTCCACTTGGCCTATGTTTTCTATCCTTGTCAGCTACCCAAAAGAAGAGTAGTTTTAGCTGGGCTTGACAGCTGTAATGCTCATAGAGCCACTGGAATAATCTGACCTGGAAGGCAGCAGAAACTTCACTTTTACTTTTCCCCTTCCCTCTCTCCAGTTCCCCGTCCCCCACAATCATTTTCCAATGGATTAGTCAGCCTTTTTCCATGTAATTAACGAACTGAGTGTGGCTAAATGTTTTAATAAAGATGGCAGTATGCTAAGAGTGTTAGCATGGAGATCAGACTTGCAGAACTAATTAAGCCATTCCTCCTATGAAATCTCATAAAAACCTAGTGACAGTTTTCAGGGCAACAGCTAAAATCAGCACAAATATTTCATTACATAAAATGGTTAAAGGTGCAACTATATGCACATACATGCTACAATACCTGATGCATCTTTGAAATCTATATTAAAGTATTATCATTTGTAAATAACTCTCACACATATAGTTTTTTTTAAAATATCAACAAGCTCAGATATAGCGACAGGGAGAAAGGTAACTGTATCGGTACCATACTACTTCTACTGGCCGTGTTTCATTCGCGCTCCCAAAGAGTTTACAAGTGGAGCTGAACACAGATTTGTTTGCTTTACAGATGTAGGAGCTACACAGAAATTTGCTGTTCTGGAGAAACTGAACCAAGTAACTGGTTTCAGAAGACTATGTTCTGAAGTATTACTGAATTAATCTATTGCCTCTTTCAGGTAGTAATGCTCCAATCCTCAACTACTTTAAGTAAGGCTTAAAGTGATGAAGAGAAGAATGAGTTCAGATAAGAACAAGATAATAATAACAAGATCCCAAACTTGTAAGTAATAGAGAGGATGCCAAGTTCTGCCACAACAGATCGGGCTATGAGTTCAAAAGAATATCAAGCTTGACCATGAACAGTCAACCAGCACCAGCAAAAAGGCTTCTGCAACCAACAACTTCAGCATTTTAATAAAAAAAACTTGCTCTTATTGGCGTTTATGCTTTTAAAGCGCTCTGTCAATAACAAAGAAGGCAGGACACCAAACAGTAGCCAAAGATAGAATTTAGATAAATGTTCTTTATCTTCCTAAAGAAGGAACAGCAATCAAGATACAGGTCACCACCAGCATCACTGATTACGCCAGTTGCTGGAAAGACACCCAAAGAGATCCTGCAAGCATGAAGCAGAAACGTAAAAAAAGACACCATTACAGCATACCTACAATTTGACAAGTAGCAGCCAGTCAGATGTTGTGTCCCATTTCCAAAATGGCACATAAATCTGCACCAATAGAAGCAAATAAATAGGTACTATAGTAACAAGCAGAAGAGTCTGCAAATATACCAAACTTGAAGTGTAGAAATCAGGAACAGTGTACATACAGGAGCAGTCAGAAGTATTCCCTGCCTGGCTTGGGGTTTTCTTTCCTTCTGGACTGATACTCTTTTTTAACATCCCAGGAAAGGCTTGTTTCCCATGATGAAATTGCAAATATGCTCAAGCTACTTCTGGCATGGGTTTAGATGTTATGGATCCAAGTACGAGAATCTTCTACCACTTTCAAGTTGTTAAGCTTCCACAGGAGTAGAGTGGCACACTACTTCAAGGCAACTTCAAAAGCACCAGAAAAGATACAGAACTGACAGTGTAGTGCTTAGTAACATGCTTCAGCACTACCCCAGAAGAAGCAGCTTTAGAGATTGCATGTATTGTGTACATCACATACAAGAGAATATCTCTTCTGAAACTAGGAAGCGGGGGGGAGAAGAGCCAAGAGGCACATGTTTAATAGTCATGCAGGTGGCAAGATACACAGCAGAGATGCAGTACCTTCTCATTACAGCAAAAGCACTTGACCTCCTCAACATGGCACATTTTTCCCCTCTGTATTACACTGTGCTGTAGGCAGTAGTAATGCTCCTCTTATAGGAATGTTCAGGTAACAATAAATGGGCCAAATGACAGCTAAACACAAAGCCCTACAAAAACCTCTTTCATTAAAGTTGACTACTTCCTACTATACTTAACAGTCAGATTTTCCAAAGCAAGCATACTTTCTTCCTACTAGTCCCAAGGTGTTAAAGCATGGAGACTGCAGCACAACAAGTAGGTTTATCAGCTCAAAAACTCTCTTTGCAAAAAGTCAAGACCTGCAACACCCCACACCCAAGATAACTGCATTCATGTAGCTGACATAACTATTGAATCACTGTATCTGAGCACGAATACAAAGGTGTTGTGATAACATCAACTCCTAACTACCACTACTGAATGCCATAAGTGTTTCAGGTTTTTTTTTTGTTTGTTTGTTTTTTTGCACACAGGACTTTACCAGGAAAAGAAACTCCTGAAGAAGGAAGTTTGCATTTCATTACTGTTTTGTGTGTATTTGTGCATACACAAAAAGAAAAAATGTTGGGACATTTATTTTGCATGAGGAAGTCAAATTGACTAAATTTGCATGTGAAAAGCATAGGCAACAACAGACAGGATGGTTTACATCAACTTGTTTTGCAAGCCTTAAAAAAGGTTAGTTATGGATTTTATATTGTGAAGACTTTGCACACACCCTCCAAATGGAACAATAAGCTATCAAAAATTTTTAAATAATGGTTAGAGAGAAGACAGGAGAGAATTCCACTCTTCCACCTCACCTTCTTATAGCTTTGCTTAATTGAAGGTTTGGAACATAACTGCATCCACTCAGCTGGTATATGAGACCCAAAGGAATTCGTTCACTCAGGTCCTGAAAAAGCAATCAGCAAATCTATACGAAAGAAGTAGGAGGTGAGAAACAGATTATGGTAAGAAACAAGAACCAAGAAATTCATTTTGCTCATTCAGCTAAAAAGCAACCAAAGAACTAAAGAGAGATTTAGAGAGAAAGCATGCACACAAGAGAGGAAATTAGACACCCACCTTGCTCTTGACTTGCTCTTGTGCCATTGTTCACGTATTGGTTAAGGAAAACAAGCTTTCTAAAGCAAGCACAAGTCTTGTGCTGCAACAGCGTAGGAGAAACAGCTGACAAGTTTGGAAGGACTGATATTTAATCAGGACTCAGGAGTGTCTAAAGAAGCTGAGATAAAGTTAATAAAAAAATGTCAAGAGACAGAGAAACTATTTCCTGCCTTAGCACTGAGATTTTGTGTCACAGGAAAAAGTAAAGGGTGGGTAAGTGTAAAGAAACTCAGGGTTCCTCAGAGAAATGTGGCTTGGGCAGGAGGAAGTCCCACTAGGATGAACACATGTATCATAACTCCACTGAAAAATCTTTTCCGCAGCTTCCCTGGATTAGGTAAATCACACAAGAGTAGTAACCTTTCAGGTGCCTAAGAAAACAGAAGACTCAAGAGCCCAAGGATCTGAAAGAAACCACCAGAGGGGAAACACCACCAAGGCTTAGTGGAAAAGGACAGTCACAGGAAAAAGTTAGGCGAATTCTCTCTTCAGCTTGGATTGGCTATAGCTACATAGAGAAAAGGATGCTTCAACTCTTTAAAATCTTAGGAAGCAGAGAAATACAAGTTCGTTCTACACTGATTGGCACCAGTCTTCATTAAAACACAAACAAGACCAAGCAAGTGGCATGCTGCTGGCAATAGGATACTTCACTGTCCTTGTCAGTCTGAGCAGCTGTGGCAATAGCTCCTAAGGCCATCAACAAGCAAATCAAGCGTCATGCTTCTATCGGCTTCATATCTTAGCACTGTACTTAGTACTTGAACCTCACCAGATCTGTTCCAGGAAATGAAAAATGCTATTTCATCTAATCTCATAGCAGGTACACATCATGGCATACAGATCACATAAATCACTTGCTGTTCACTCTGTTTTTTTTACCATGTCCTGTACCTACCCTCTTCAAGCACACAAGGAAGCTGATTGCTTACAATGATCCTAGATGCACACCTGTCAGTTGTGCCACTTTACGAGGATTTCCCTTTCCCATAAGGGAGAAGGGAATAATCTTTTCTGGCAGTCATAAATACTAAGCAAAGCTGTGTAAGGTTGGAAAAAAAAAAACAAGAAAAAAAAAACAACGACCAAAGGATGTTTAGACATCCAGACATGCATGAACTAATCCTATATCAGCCATACTTTCTACCACGAATATGTTCCAACTCACCTACGCTGGCACAGCACCTTTAACTGCATTTTCTGGTAAAGGTAACAGGCTCCTCACAGTAGACAAAAAGACTAGCATCTATTCTGGACTTGCAGTTCTTGAGGCAGATGAGTGCCCTGCCAGTCCACACATACTGTTCTAGAATACAAAATACAGCCAGAAGGGGGTGAAATGTAAGATCATTTACTTGCAGATTCCTTTAGATGACCAGGTCAAGACACCAGTGGGACTGGACTATCTTGTAATCACTCTTCTCCCTTCAAAACGATGGCCAAGAAAAAAAGAGAAATTCAGGCATTTTCTCAAAATAGAATCTGTGCTTTCAAATATGTTCTAGTGTCCTGTTCTAGTATTTGTAACACTACTATTTAATAAAAGGTAGTTTTCCCCAAGAGTTTTGGTTGAAACTTGATAGTAACACTTTTTTACACCCTATAAAAGGGAAGACCTGGAACTATATGTTTTAGGTAAATTGGGGTTTCATGTCAAAACTGCTATTCATTGCTGTATTGCTTTCAACAAGTCACTTATGCCACCTTCCTGTCACAGACTATGGGAGTAGAGTCTCACATACTACGAAGGTTTCAAGATGTTCCTATGTCTCAGCAATCTCAGACTAAGTCAAGATGTTCAACACCTCTGAAAAAGTCTCACTTGAGAACTCCCAACTGCTTAAACAGAGACAGCAGTTGAAATGAGTATCAAGTTTCAACCACAGGAAGTTTGTTTTAATGAAAAGGTGGTGTTGCTTACACCTACCTATAGGCTGTTTTGGGGAAAATAATCCTCCTATTTCCATATAAAAAAATCCTTTGGATTTTATCCCTTGCCTGGCAAACCAATACGTTCTATCTGCTACAACAGGCTATCATACTTCTTCACATTGCCTCCCAGGTATACACACGCTGCCAGATGATAAAGACTCCCACCTCACCATTTAATCACAATACTTAAATGTACAACTCTTTTTAAAAGTTTAACTATTTCCTGTTCTCCAAGAAATAGTTCCTTTAATCATATATAATACCAAAGAGTTTTATAGGCATGCTCTATATAGTGATTGATTACATTTTGTATGAAGCAATGAGGGTTTTTTTTTTCCTGTTACTGGTACTTTGCTCCACGTCATCTATCCTGCCTAGCTTCAGTTTCAAAAAACAAGATTTTAAAACTTATGCAAATTCACAATGGCAAATTCTGCTTTCTCAGTAATCTTTTTCCTCTCAATACAGTTAGCCTTTCTCAAACCATAAACTGTAACGCCTACATAGCATTTGCAGTTCACACACATAGTTTGGTATGTTGCAGGAACAAAAGGAAAAAAAAGGATGTAAACAACTGATTTAACTTGCAATACTTCAGAGACAAAGGCAGACACCATGTTCTACCTACATCAACCACTTAAAGAGAACATTTTTGCATTTGTACATGCACATTCACTTTCCAATTATATTTATATTACCTTAAGACAACAGTGTCAGAACAGTTTCAAACCCTAAATTTTTCAAACTGCAGTTAAATTTGACAGAATTGCAGGCAGCTGAACAGAAACTAGAGCTGCTACTGTAAGAGTTCTCATTTAAAAGGCAGAAACATGACTGCTTTCATCATCTATAATTTACGATAGCCTCCAGCCATGTATTGCATGTGACTTCCACTGTTTTGCTTCATTCAAAACTTAGCTTTACAAGTGCCTGCTAAGTGATTTTCCCACTGGTCTACAAACTGTCTTACAGTCTCCCCAAGGAAAAGGGGACAGTCTCCCCAAGGAAAAGGGGACAGTCTCCCCAAGGAAAAGGGGACAGTCTCAGACACAAGACAGACCTTCATGGCTCATAATCGAGTGACTGAAGAAGTGGGAAAAGTAGAAATATCAACATATAATCTAGCAGCTGGACTCACCCAAACTGATTATTTCTCCAACAAATCAAACATCTAAATACTCTTACAGCATCACTGTACAGAAAGATAACTAGACTGACTGCAGCGTAGTCAGACTTTCTGCAGAGTTATTTAAATGCAACTCTAAGCCATTTAGTGACAGTGCCTAGAAAACAAAGGTATCAAAAAGCACTGCTTTAGTAGTTTCCCAAAATATAAGACAAGGCCGGGCATGAAGAGACATATAACCAGAGCTAAATTTGTACCTTGTACCGCTATTTGATTCAAAAATCCTTTTTTTACACAGTAATTCTTCAAGGTATCAAAGTCTGAAACATCCAGCCCATCTATCTTGTCTTAGAGGATGTCTTCACAGCACAAGAGTCATATTTTTGTTTCATAAATACAAGTTTTTTCACTACATACATACAGCAAGTATAGGTTTCATCCGAAATATTCTGCCTTAAATGAACAGAATTACTCAGAAGCTACCTACTACCAGACCAATATCCACATGACACTTAAGTGATTTATTCATCCAAACACAGCAACTGCCTCTCTCCAGTACTCATTTCAGTGAAACAGTTAAGTGTGGTTCGCCCCACAGTTGTGGTGTGAGAAGAGAGATAAAGCAAATCTCAATACTGCAACAGGACTCTACAACCCCACCAGCTACGTGCTTAGCGTCTCTTACCAGGACTGCAAGCTGCAGAATGGTAATGATTTGACTCTAACCCTATGGGTAAATGCAAAGTTAGTAGTGATTCATTTAGCTACTATGATTTGACAGAGAAGTTCAGCCCTTGTAAACAGAATTCCTTTTGAATCCAACCATACAATTATGGAAGTTCTTTCTCTTTGTGGCTTCACCATCCATATTGCAAACTCTTTTTGTTATTTGAAAAATCACCTTCCCATCAGTAATGGATTCACCCTCACAGAGCCTTCTACTTTCAATGCCTTGCATTGAGAGCGCAAGCAAATCACACAAGCTGATCTTGTTAACCCTTAGAGAGGCATGGCTCAAGTCTCTATTCATTCCTTATACAGAAGAAATTCTGTAGATATCCCATCCTCTTTTTCTGGCAACTACTAAAGATTATGTAGTGCCGTTAGAAGTCCATAAATCAAAAGATGGAGCTAAGCTATAGCTCCAGGTGACATTTTAGTCAAAAGGTGACTCGGGACAATTTCTTTATTGTTAGAATATATCCCTAACTAAAACTCAACTTTTTCCCCATGGTCACAGAAACAAAATCCCATCTTTAGTCAGTAGAAAAGATGGACAATAGAGAAGTTCACAGCTATAAGGAAGTTCTGAAAAACAAAATGAGGTGTCCAATTCCAACGCAGCGATGAGACATCAACTGTACTTATGAAACGCCACCACAGTCCAAGCATCTCCTTGTTCAGCCTAGAAGCACTCAAACACAAAACAGCAACACAGCTTGCTTAAATACTGAGCTAACTAGACTGTGGTAGTTCTATTTCCCACCTACCCTTGTTCCAGGAGCCAGGCACCGTGCGGCCTAGTTCAGTAAACTAGCTCAGAGTAGACTGGTCACATACAAACAAAAGCAGGTTCCTTACACAATGCAACAGTGGCAAGTCACTTTTAAAAGAGGATTGATGCAGGAGAAGGGGTACAGTTTAACTAAGTTTATTTTACTGCTTACTCTGTTCTATGTCCCCCTCAGTCTTAAGGGATCATTCCAAAGTAACAGAGTAAC